CTGAGAGCGAGAGTCAGACAGTGAGAGAGCATGCATGGAGGGGATGGCACCAAGTCCAGACTTATGTCATGATAAAGCATGTATGCCACAGTATGGCGCAACAGCAGTGCTAGTGCGCGGCGGCGGGTGATGTCGCTCACGACACAAGTGCGTACACGTGTCCCGTCATCGCCTCACTAACGAGGGACGCAGGCTAGCGCAAGGAGACACGGGAGACGCGCAATGGAGCAAGAGCGGCGCTGAGTGTGACTGCACGATACGAAGATTGGTTCTCTATTGCTACGACGGGTAATGGCCAGACAGGACCAACGGGCCACGACTAGCATGATCGCAATGCTGCCACCATCACAGTGTACTGACGTTCCCAACATTGCCCTGGCACTTATTGTTGCTGATTTGCCATGCCATCTTCCATGCACCGTGATAACAATGTCATGGTCCTTGCTGAAAGGTGGAATTCTCGCGCGTACAGCAAGGAATCGAACCAGAGGTTCTCACGTAGCGCAATGTTACCCGAATCCTCGACCAGGGTGGCCGCCAATTTCTCATCGATCGAGCGAACCCTCCTTGCCTTGCATGATGCGCTGGGGGATTGTGTACATGCCAACATCGCCCGAACAGATAGCTTGTCCCAGACTCCGATCCCAATCACCTACTGCCGCAGCTCAGGTCTAACCTTCCTTCAATCCACGAACACAAAGACACAGAGCAATGAAAGTGTAGATTGCTACTTTCTTCTCACACCATTTATTTGTGTGTACATGTCAGCTTGAGTAGCTGTGCGAGGGCACCAGGAGAGGAAGAACTGATAGCCTAGTAGTAGAGGCAGTGGTGTTCTGGTCAGTGGGTATAGCGGTCCCATGGCATGATGATGCTGGAGATGGAGGAGAATTGTGGAGGACGACGGCCTCCTCTGAGGATGTCCCCATTGCTATCCGTGACTGTCATCATTCTCGCACTGGCCGCCGCAGCGGCGTCAGTGCCACCCGGTGGTCAAGGGAATGCCAGGATCGCCAATCAGTTCCTGGATCCCAGGAGAGCCTTGCTGGGGGTGACGGTGGCCAGGGCCCCGAGCCCCGACGCTGCCGCAACCCGAAACGACACTCTCTTGTACTGCAGGTCGTGTCGCAGTAGAATGGTGAACATTCTCTATCGGATTCGAGGACAGGTCGAGAAAACCCTGAAGGTAGATCTACTGTTCTTCTTCATACAATAGATCTATCATGTTACATGTACTAAACTTCTCACCGGAAGTAACGCACCCGGTCGGGCAGGCTCTTCAGTCTTCGCCCACAATATGTGTGCTGACTCTGTTGTCTTCTTTATCTCTACAATGTAGGGGGGGGGGGGGGGTAATTTCCATGAAGGGGTTTATCAAGTTAGCTTTGTGGTTTCAGCGTAGGCTCGAAGACGTTGTGCTTTCGGCATGGTGGACAAAAGCCGAACACAAGATTACAATACACTGTATTACGAACTCGGCCGATTGTAGACAGATCAGACAATTGTAGCATTTCGGTCATGTTGGTCAAAAACGAGTACATAATATGAAGTAGAATGAGGAGCTTAGTCATAATATTATGCACAGCAGCTGGTTTGTTCGAAGAGATCACGGATTAGAGGTGTGAAAAATATATCCTCGCATGGATCAGACTTCAGATCATGACTATCAAGATACTATAGTATTAGTAGTGTTTCGTCAAGACTAAAGGCACTCGGATCACCGCTCCCTGCAATGCCGGCTTGACATACACAAGTACATGACTGGTCCGTGAATACTTCGAAGTAATAGTAACCGATTGCAAACGTTCTGACTTGGGCTTGGGCCACCTTCCATCAGTGCAACACCGATAAGAATGTTCTCCGTTTTGCAGTTCCTTGGAACTGTCAATCATGGTCAATCTTGACGCTAGAATGGACGGTGCCGCGGTGAACTAATTACTTGGACTTTGTTATGTCAGTAGATCTACTATGCAGAATGTTTGCTATCAACGCAAAACATCGGACTCCGCTACAAATATCGCTCCTGAATGCTTTAGGCTGGGTGGTGTTCTTTTCTTGTATGTGTGCAGTTTCAAGACATACAACTGCAGGCGTTTCCCTGCCTGGCGGTTGAAGCTACCCGCCATCTTGGCCTCATCGTTTCCGACCTGCGGATCGAGCCTGCCCAGGAAGCGGGCAGCGTCAGTTTGCAGCTCTCTACGGACTACGGAGCGCACTGGATCAACCTGATCGGTGTTGGTGAGTCCTGCATGCACTGCTATGCCTATTGTCAAGACTGAGTATTATAATTATACTCTTGCTATAGGGCTTGAAAGTGATGACGTCAAAAACGGCCTGGGAGTAGTAAATTGACATCAGATTTCTATTTTGGATCCACTAAGGTGTGACTTTGCTATTGCCTCAGTATGTAGGTGCATAGCAACCCACTCATGTCGTATGCAGGTGCAACTTTTACTTCGCCACCAGTTGTCACCCCGCCCCCACTAGCCAAATCAGTCAGTTTCACTGGCAACATCACCTTGCTGTGAGTGAGACCGCTTGAAATGTGCTTGGATCCATACAAAAACTGGATCCAGGTGGATCCAGTTTTCGAATTTTTCAAATTGTTGCTATGCCATTGCTATGGAGTGACGTAGCACTTTCAAGCCCTATTGTGCTGCTCAAAACTACACGTCTACACTACTATAGTTATGCTACCAAGAGGCAAGAGTTCATGTACTCTAGCTTGATGCTACTCTGCACTGCTAGCGAAGTAGAGCCTAGAGCTAGTAGAGGTCAAACGGGTGCAGTTACTGCATGCAGGCTTTCATGCAAGAGAGCTTGGCCACTCATCAAGTGAGCTCTTCAGTACAAGTACATGATTATTGATGTATGTGAGGAATAGTGTGTGTTCTTCAAGCTGGCACTCCTTATACGGGGCAGCTAAGACAGTGTACAGATGTGAAGTTGCCACGTTCACAGGCAAACATTGGACCCACCGTCCCACAGACACTGTAGAGGGGACGGTTTCAAATAGGACATAGGTTGCAAACCGGAACGGACTCAATATTCACTTTCTCTCTTGGTATTTTGATTAGAAAACATATGTCACAGTGAGACTACGATATGTTATACTCCGAGCCAAAATTTCATGGCTCTGCGATGACCAGAAGCGCCATACCAAGCAGGTGAGTTTTTGCTTCGCACTGCGACTTGAGTTTTACGACTTTCGAAACATTTACTTCTTGTCGCAGGTAAACAGCGGCTCGCCTCTCGCCAATAAAGCACCGCATACCAATCAAAACTAATGGAAGCACACACAAGGCTTATTGTTACTCTGTACTGGCCGTCGTGGAGCGATAGCATTTACCTATTTTCAGACCCAGGGTGAATTTGACGTGCACTCTAAAACATGTCCGGTTTGGAGCCACCTCTGATTTGAACTTTTTTGAAGCGAAAAATTGGGCAACTTGGAGGCAATGGGTCAACACAAAGGAGTGGCTCAGTTCGATTGACTCTGGCCCCAGAGCAAACTTCAACATGCCAGTTTCCTTCCACAAACATATTTAGAGTGAAAAATCAACGCTGATGATCGGTTTGGGTCTATACAAATTTGGCTGTCAAAGCGTCCCGGTATCGAGCCGTCCCCTCTACAATGCGAAGACAAACTGCAGTTCACAGTCATAGTCATACCGGTATGTTTCAGACAACTGGACAGTGAGGCGCATGTGATAATCCCGATGTGCCTCATCTGAACAATCATCCGCGAACCGCCCATCACATGAAAAAGTAATCTAAGTGCTGGTTGTATAACTGTGCATGCGTGATGTGTGTGTGTGTGTATATGCATGTGTGTGCATGTGTCCATGTGTCCGTGGCATGCAGGCACCATTGGTCCAGCTAGACCGCTGTACATCCAGCCTCACTGGCAATTGCGAATGGTCCACCGAATGGACGTGCACCGTGGATTTCACGTCCTGCATGTCAGCATGGCTGTCGGTGTGTGGGGCCTGACCCGCCAAGCTTTCAACACGACTGCGCGCTGTCCAACATTCGGTGAGGCAAGACTGTGCCAGTGCTCGGAGGTCTTTCACAGAGTGAATGTGTCAGTAGCTACCAATGACACTGGAGAGGAACGCCAGCCCACAGTAGCTGGCCAGCAGGATGGTCATCCTGCGGAAGCTATTTCGGCTGTTCATGGCCGAGTCCGGAGACAGTCAGGCCGCTATCGTAAGTTATTCCATATACTAGTATCTTGATCCAACATGATGCTATCAGAGTGACCCACACTTCACTGCATCCCTAGGCCCTGTGTACCCAGCATCCAACATGATGCCATCAGAGTGACCCACACTTCACTGCATCCCTGTGTACCCAGCATCCAACATGATGCCATCAGAGTGACCCACACTTCACTGCATCCACGTATACCCAGCATCCAACATGATGTCATCAGAGTGACCCACACTTCACTGCATCCCTGTGTACCCAGCATCCGCCCACGGTGTCTTTCAAGGACAACATGGTTTCTACTTGTAATGTTCTCGTGCTTCTGTTCTTTCCCACAGCCACACCGCACACGCCCATCATATCTCCCTCGAGCAGAGCTATCTCGGCCAATGCTATTCTATTGTCATGGAAACAGCCTATAGTAAAGGGAGACAAGAAGGGACCCAAGGAGTTTGTCATCGAGATCTCGGCACCTGGATACGATGAGAAGCTTACAGTGGGATGCGACGACTGCGACAAGGGAGACTATGTGGCACGCATGTCGACGCCAACTGGCTACGGTGTGGAGTTCCACAGGCTGATCGAGAGTCTTCAGCCGTTCACCAAGTACACAATCACAGTGATGGCCGTTGGTGAGGAAAAGTCCAGTGAGCCCACTAGAGACATTGTGATCCGTACAGCGGAGGCAGGTAAGCACAGCGGGGATACACTACAGACTAGTACAGTAATCTATTCCATGTGGTGGATTAGGAACATTTTATTGTGCACTATCGTACGAAAACATCTTCTCCAGAACACAAAGTTTAAGTATGAAGCTCACACCTATGCATCCTATAGAGTGGTTTCACATCTTTGTCATGTGACTGAATTTGTGTAGCCCAAAATGTACATGGCATGTGCGAAGAGTGGAACCAACATGGCCGACATCATGTGACCCATACATGCATTGCAAGGGTTGAGTGGAGTTGCAGCCAGCATGGCTGCCGGTCCCGTATGATCATGTGATAGATGTGAAACCGCTGTATATAATTATTATAATCCGATATGATGCCATTGTTGTGCTCGTTGTGCAATGGCTAGTGCTACTGATCATCACTATCACATCTTGTTTCCTCTTGTCGCGGCGGTTGTAGCTCCTGAGTTTCCACCGACTGGTGTTACCGTGTCCAAGGTGACTGGCCACTCAGCCAAAATTGCATGGCAGCCGATCGATGTAGCGTTCCGGCACGGAATCCTTCAGCAGTACGAGGTGCTGGTCAGAGAGACGCAGGCTGACGTTATCGCGGCCCGAGGCAACGTCAGTGCCCTGGGCAACAGAAGCAGCACCACCGTCACAGATCTGGTGCCCCTGAGAGAGTACGCTGTCACGGTCAGAGGCTTCACCGATGCTGGAGTCAGCCTGCCCAGCGACGAAGTGGTCTTCACCACAACCGAAACAGGTCAGCTGATGTTGTGTGGCCCTGCATGTGATGTGGGTTACTGGATGAAAAGCAATGTGCTTTTTTTTGTAGAAATGATGCATGCTGCTGGTTCAAGTAACATGATTTAGCATGTAGTGTGCTATACTCTACCCTGCTAGTGTTGACTTGACATTCATACACAGTCACACTGATTAACTCAACGTGTGTCAGCATAGCAAACAACCCCTCGCTCTCCTTATGGCTCTCCATTCCCAGTTCCAGGCATTCCGACTCGGGTCAAGGTCAGACCCATGTCACCCACAAGCGTACTTGTCATGTGGCAGCCACCGGTGCACCGAAGCCAGGTGAACGAGACGTTCACCGTTCAGTACTGGCCGTCAGCTGCCAAAGCTGGGCAGAGCCAGGCACTGCAAGAGGTGACCACGGACACACTGGCGTTCATCCGCGGACTGCAGCCAGCTACCACCTACACTGTACAGGTGGCAACCGTTGATGGCACAGGTCGAGGCGTGGGAAGTGACATGATCAACGTTACGACTGAACCAATAAGTAAGAGATGTCACGTTGTTCAAACCTGGTTACTCCTGCTAATACTTCTACATGTACATGACCGTATATCAACTCATTTCCTGCTGAGGAATACTATCAAGGAACTAAGCTCAACAGTCAGCAGTAGGACAACTTGTGAATCTGAAGGATGCAGTGATTAACATTAGATGAATACCCTACACGGACGAAACAGTTCCGTCTGCAGATTTGAGTAACCTAAGAGAATCAGCATGTGATATGCACTACTTTCTCGTTGACAGCACCTTTCCGCCTGTGTCTTCTTGCAGTCACCCTGGGTGGAAACGCTGCAGTGAACATCGAAGCATCCGCAATCAACAGCACCGCCGTCAATGTCACGTGGCACGCACCCGAGCTCATGAGAGGCCAACCGGTCGAAGTTGGCAGTGCCGGCGTACGCGTGAGCTATTCACTGGTGCCCACGGAGGTGAGCGGTGGCAAGCCGCCAGGCCCAGCCGTTACTCACCGCCAGCCCCAGCGTTCCCAGCTTACTCCGCTGGGACAAGGGTACGGCGTGATGACTGGGCTCACTCCATACTCGTTCTACAACGTCACTGTGGAAATGGTCCCCGATGCTAATCCGTCTAATCCGTCTAATCCTAATGCTAATCCTTCTCTGCAACTTCTTACAACTAGCGACATCATTCGCACTCCTGACTCAGGTAAGGCTGAACTACATGCACTACAAGACGACGGAAGTCAGTAGCCAGTTGGTGTTCTCACGGCTGCACGGAATACTGTGAAAATGAATTGTGAATAGAAATTTTGAAATGGAAATGGACAATATGTGCATGCGCATTGACAATGCACAGCCCAACATCACGATTGTACTTCGTTATGTTACACCAATAGTGCAGGTAGGCTTAGCACAATAGCCTAGGGCCATAACTGAGAAACAGAGTGTTCAAGTCATTCTTATACTAAGTTATAACTTATTAGTTCTGTTCCCATGTTTGTGCTACATTACACTGCACCAAGTCTGGAGCACTCTTCAAGGCAGAACTACATTATATAGAGGTACTGGTTGTGTGTCCATGGTCTTGCAGTTCCTCCTCCGCCTGGTGATTTGTCAGTACATCCGGAGGTTCTTCACGGCCCATCGGTGCTGGTCGAATGGACACGCCCAGCACACGCCCAGCACAGCGTCATCAGCTACACGGTCACAGCCGAGGCCTTGCCACCTGCCGCTCCACACCGTGTGCAGCACGTCGTCAACAAGGCCCAGCACAACATCACCGACGCGGCAGGCAATGTCGTCCAGTGGCGCATGACCGACCTGCGTGAGAATACGGAGTACTCGGTCACTGTCCAGGGAAGGAATGAGGTGGGCTCCTCATATGCCACTGCCATGGCACTCACCACAGCAGCATCTGGTGAGTAAAACTTTATACCTGTTGAAATAAACTGCCAACGTGCACATCAAATAATAAGAAAAGACAAAACGAGATGTCCTGATGAGGCACTACTCGGCATTGCTTTTATCCCCACAGGAGGGTATTTCCCTTGCTGCCGTGGATGCACACAGGTGTTGTTTACTGATGTTCCAATGTTAAGTAAAAGCTGTATTCTACAAAGCCAAGTCATGTGGATAATGTGTACCCGAGTGGGTGACAAGCAAGTGTCACTGTGACTATGTGTGTGTGTGTGTGTGTGTGTGTGTGTGTGTACGTGTGGTTTTACAGTCACAAGCGAGCCACAGGACGTGCAGGCTCTCGGTGCGGCGTATAACGCAATCCGCGTCCAGTGGCGCAAGCCGGCCAAGCGTGTGGGACCCATCTTGCAATACACGGTGGCGTATGCACCCGTTAACAGGAGCGTTGGCGGCGCGGCGGCTGCGATTCTACCCGACAGTGTGCCGTACGTACGGCGCCTGCAGTTCAGCGCCCTGACCAGCACATGTCTGATCACCGGGCTCTACACAGGTCAGACCTATGCAGTTTGGGTGTGGGCCAGCACATGGACAAGTCACGGCTCAGAGCAGGGACTCCCAAGCCAGGCGGTGTTTGCGGTGACGGATGGCAGTGCTACCACAGATCATGCTCCACACGACCACAGTATGATATCAGGTAAATTTCCAGTCCGTATTGCAGTAGATGGCCCCGAGTATTCACCAGCATACACTGTACAATGACAGACATGGTGTACTTGTAATTATGGGAGATCTCCAATGAATCTGCATTGTAATAATACATGTACATCAAAGCACATGGATTTAGCTCCAGTGAATATATTCTGTGTGCACAAATTCTCTCTCTCACTACAGAGCAAGCCCTACTGAACCCTCAGTATCTGGAAGTGCAGAGCACGGGCCCGAGAACTGTGACCGTCCGGTGGCACCGCTCTATAGCACAGAACATCATAGGCTACGTAATCCGTATCCTTCAGATTGGGCCAGCCAAAGAGACAGCTGTGGACAGTAGTAGCACGCCGGCAGTAGGCCAGCAAAAGTACCTGCCTTGGCTGGTAACGCGCAGTGCGGACATGCCGACAGAGATAGAGCTGCGTGGTCTCCGGCCGCACAGTAAGTATGCCGTGGAAGTGTTCGGCTTCTCCGCGCGAATGAACAGCACCGGAACGGGCCGGAAGTTTGTCGTCACCATGCAGTCACGGCCCAGCGTGCCCCCGTCGGACCTGCAGGCCAATCCGCTCACGTCTCGCTCGTTGCTGGTGACCTGGGGCACGGTACCGAGCGCATCACTGAACGGCATACTGCACGGTTATCAGGTGAACCTTACACACGAGCAGACCAGTGACAGTTCCGATGACCATGTGGCGTACAGGAAGCAGACGGCGTTCATCGCGTCCAACTTGCCAAACTCCTACACGGCCACGGCCCTGCATCCGGCCACGCCGTACCATGTCTCCGTAGCTGCCATCACGGACGGCGGTGTGGGACCACCAGCCATGGCATTGATTACCACTCATGAAGATGGTAAGAGAAAGAGCAAGGATAACTTGTGACTCGAAGTTGTGAGCATTGCTGAGAAGTAGTGCACAGCAAAGAAGATATTTGTACACGGCTGAGTGACTGAGCTTGAAAAACCTGGGTTTGTCTGTAACTTTACATGTATGACTAAGCAGTGTCTCTCAGTGAGTGTTGCTATTACATGTACACGGAATACGCAGTAGAACTAACGATGCATTCCTGTTGTGTTCTCCAGGGAAATACAGACTCTCTGAAGCTTTACTCCAGCCGCTTCTGAGGAGAACCCTAGAAACCACTATACACTGTATGTAGAAAAAAAGCGGCTTCACAAAGCAATGTTTGACTGACCTACTCTGGAATCTTTCACTTTGTTGCAGCTCCTTCAGATATCATCCTAGATGCTACGGTGATCAATGACACATCAGTCAATGTCTCCTGGAGCCTCGCACCAAACGGCCGTCTGACCCAATTTGATCTCGCCTATCACCCGCACACGATGAATGTTAGTGGAAGCAAGTCTGGCGGCCCGCTCAGGAGAAACTTGCTTCACCGACGAAATCAGCGCTACACCATCCTGAATAGGCTGAGTCCCTACCACTTCTACACGATCGCACTCAGCGCTGCAACCAGCAAGGGCTCGGCCAAAAAACAAATATCAGTCTTCACAGCCAAGAATGCCGCAGGTTAGAGAATCCAGCTATATAATACAGGGCACTATCCACCAGTTACTGCAGGGTAAAATTGAGGACAGTTGGCCAAGCAGATAGCCATTTTTAAAATCAGACCATTGCCAGGTCACATATACACTAGTGACATCACAGTACTCGGAAAAACAGGCCAGCTTGCATTGACTTCATCAGTAGTATCAAGCTGGTTTCAAGCTAACGTTACCAGTGTGGACATATGGGGATTGGAAATAGCCAAGGTGACAATGCACCCGATCATATCGAAATGGCAGAACTTCATGCTGGTTATAAATAATCGCTGTAACACTTTTCTTTGAAAATGGGTGTGCGCCTGGCATTGCAACACCCCCAGCATGTGCTGGCAGCAAGTTGCTAATTACGTCTGACCGGAATCACTCTAAAGAAAAGAATAGCCGACAATGCCATTACGACAGAATTCTCGGCACATATTGTTTCTTACTCCTGTCATTCATTGACGTTCCTCTGGTGTGCCTTAACAGAATCACAGTCGGACATGTTGGAAATTCTGGGCTGCCGAGCTGTTTCGACCAGCAGTGTACGCGTACACTGGTCTATTGGCCGGCCAGTAGCGGGGATGTTCAGCTATCTGCGCTTGCTGACCAGCGAGTGGCAGAACGGTTCGGCCGTGTCCATACACAACGTAACATTACCGACCACCGCACGGGCCACGCAGATGGCGCATCTGGACAGCAGCCGGTCGTACTCCTTCCGCCTGCTGGCGGTCAAACGGACTAACGGCCAGAAGGTGTTTTCCCTGCCGTGCAACCTCATAGCACCAGGTAAGAGCGGACAAAAGCATATACTGTAGTGAGTCTGATATACCCTTCAGTGTCTTAGGCAGGTTCTGGGCATAGCTGCAAACTCTGAAGTTTTGATACGCCATATCAAGCTGGTCGGTATGACCGAAGTATGCCTCGAAAGCAGCATGTCGCTAAGCCATTTTCCCCATTGCCCAGAGACACAATGTAGGAGTAATATATGCAGACACTTTCGGGGGAGACTTTATGCATGGCACCAGTCAAGTCATCATGACTGTGTCTTTATGTTCCTTTGCTGCAGAGTATCGATTGGATATCAAGAAGGGCAGTTCAGCCAATACTACCACAAGCACAACCAGCTTTGATGACTCACAGGTGGTGGATCACAAAGGTAGGATATACCAAAAGGCACAAGCACTCTTCGACATCAAACAGTACATACAGGCTGAGTCGACCTACCCTTATAACGATACATGTAGCTGGAGATTCTCGTTCTTCCCAGTCGTATTTGTGCAACAATGACACGGAGATCTTCTGGAGGTGTGCACAAACAGCTGGGGGCATATTTTTCAGAGCAACGGAGTTGACAATACCGTAAAGCAAAGAGCAAAGTACCCAATAAGAAAACCAAGGGGAAAGGAGGAGAAAGTGAGCTATTACGCAACTCAGTCTACAACTTACAAGTGGAGTGCGCCTGTCTATTGTATACAAGTAGTACATAGCCATCATTGCTATTTCTCCTGTCTTTTCCTCAATGCAGGTAACACTACCGTCGTCGTAGCAGTGGTACTGCCGCTTGCTGTCATCATCGTACTAGCCGCGGCTCTGCTTGCGTACCGATGTAAGGGCTGTGCCCAGTGGCGCAACACAATGCTCTACGAAGTCGCATGCAACACACCAGTCGGCAAAGGTGTACTGCCGAGGTGGAACTCACCGACAAAACTGAAGAATGTTGATTTGGCGAGCCTGGAGCACCTACAGATAGCACGGAATCGTCTGCACAACATGCAGCCAATTGGCGAGGGCAACTTTGGCAAAGTCTACATGGCCGAAGCCGAGGGAATCGGGCTGGATAGAAAAGAACGTACACTGGTGGCCATCAAAGCTCTGAAAGACACGGACTGTCCAGAGGCACGCCGAAAGTTCTACCAAGAGATGAAGACAATGGCGGAGCTCTCTCATGCCAACCTCCTGCGTCTGCTCGCAGTTTGCACAAAGAAACAGCCGGCCTATTTGATAACGGAGTTCATGAATGAGGTAAGAGGAGGATTGCGATTCAAGTAGGATAGCGTTAATGAGAAAAAAGCTTTTCTCAAGTTGGCCTGATACGAATCTGATGCTAGTGGGAATAGGTGTTGTGTTAACATAATTATTTGCTAGTGCAAATGCACGTATTGTAAAATTGTCCTGTTCAACATGTTCACACAGTCATTCACACAGAACTGCTACCATTCTGTGTCTTGTGTCAACAGGGCGATCTGAAATCGGTTCTCGTTGCATCAAGGACATACAAGTCCCAGCATTTATCAGATGAGAACCTGCTGCACATCATACACCAGGTGTCGTCGGCAATGAACTACATGTCCTCACGGCACTTCATTCACCGAGACCTGGCCGCACGCAATTGCCTGGTGTCGCACGGCCTGTGCGTGAAGGTGGCCGACTTTGGGCTAACGCGTCGTGTCGGCCACGCGTCCATGGACTACTACCGTGCATCCGACGGCCTGCTGCCAGTGCGCTGGATGCCACCGGAGGCGCTGTTCGATGGCATCTTCAGCACGGCCAGTGACATCTGGGCGTTTGGCGTCTTCTGCTGGGAAGTGTACACGCTCGGCCAGCTACCCTATCCCGGCTGCGCCAATACGCAGATTGTCAGCTGGATACGCGACGGCAATCGACTGCCTCGCCCCGACCTTTGCCCGGAGCATATCTACGAGAGCATGCAGGCGTGCTGGAGAGAAGAGGCCGGCGTACGACCTAACTTCAAGCTGCTGCATGAGTTTGTCAGCGCGTGCATGGACGCTTCGTCCAAACGACAACAGAGCGTGCACACCTTCGACGCGTACGATAGCGATGGCGACTACGTCATCAGCAATTCCGGCGCTGCCGACAGCGGCGAGTTCGAAGAGGTTGACCTAGACGGTTACGAGAACGCATGGGATACCTGTGAGTACGATGTTGCCGACGCGCCTCACCTGGTGATGAAGAGCAAGGCTGCAAGAAAACGATTGTGATACCGCCCCACTGCCGCGCCCGAGTGCAGCAACAGTCGACGGTGCGATCACAGTGGAAGAACATTACCCTCCAACCCTAACCCGCCGGCACACCCTACCTAGTCTAGACATAGCGTTGCGCCTACATGTCCTTGACCTACTCATAGCATTCTCAACTTCCACTCCCATTCAGTACTATCCAATGGTGCAACAACCATCTTCTCAGGGCACACGCTATCCTACAAGCACACAGCCCATCATACTTTCAACTTGTGCATATTCTACACATAGCACACATACATTTCTTCGTTCCTTGATGTACTTGACGACCTTGCAATTAAAATCGATACGCCAAGATACTGTTGTTGAACGCATGGCTGTATGCATGGTGCTGACCAAAAGCCTTTGTAAGCAAAGAAATAAGCATGCTTCTTGATAATATGTTAAATCCAGCCTGGCATGGTGTTCACTGTGAATGTGTGGCAACACCTACATACCAGTATGTATATTGAATCCATCTTTACAGATGCCCTCAGGCAATCCTCATCAAAAGAATATCTGGTCTGGTGCTATGCTCAAACAAGAACACACTAGCATAGTATTTGATAGCAGCCATGAGAATTAGGTTGAAACCTTTCGGAGAAGAAGACGTAATCATACGGGCTGATCAGAAAAGTTCCACGGTGACAATGCCAGGCATGAAATGTCTGCCAGTACTAGCATGCACCACGCCTGCACAGCCGCCTCTACAGAGAAGAAGTAGTACAGTTCCACTGGCACAGGTCCACTAGCATGAAGTAGATACAGACATGGTCAGCTGAAGACACAGCAACTCTTCAAACTCATAGCACCAGACTGAAAGCAGCTGTCTAGAGGTTTGGGCATCATGGCAGCTACAGCGTACTTGCTAGTGCAAGTGGTTGTCATAGACATAGGCAAACAAACTGCTATTACACCTCACCAGCAAGGACCGATGCGCAGCAGACATCTCTTACCATTCACCATTGTCACACCCTCACACCTGCAGGGTACAGAACACACACAAGCGAACAGCATTCGAATGTCGAGAATGACAACAATTAGTCAATTACCATTCTTCAAGCAGCACAGTAAACTACTATATGTACCTCAATTGAGCATAACTTTCGAAGTAATACATGCATGTACAGTGTGCAGTCCATGTCTTGTGCAATATCAACAATGCCATACAATAAAACAAGGAAAGCCAACTGCACTATCCCTCTTCGGTCAATACGAATGTATACATCTAATGAGGGATAGTGCAAGTACTATCTTGTAGCTAATCATACGTGCTTGCAGAACCAACGGTCAGTACTGGTGGGCTAACAAAGCATGCACAGCGAGTTCACTTGCAATACGGGAAGCCTATTCACCCACGTACCGTGACCATGGGTCCGCTGCCGATGTTGCAGTCCAGACCGATCCTTCATATGAATCATAATCTGTGCCATTGCATTGTACTATCAGTACACACAACCGTACACGTGTCCTGTATGGAGTATGGGGCCGATGCATAACACAACGGATGGAGATTGTGCATTTTGCCACTGGTAGGGCTGGTTGCCATGGGTTAGCCTTGCTCTAGGGGCGGCAGGCTGCGTGTTGTCTTGTGCTGCAGCATAGTACACACTGCCAGTGACCTCACAGCCTGGGGTGCATTGAACCTTGGCACTCACTTATTTAACCATGGCTGCGCAGAGTAACGCATACGCTCCACAACATCAATGGTGGTGATCAGACACTGCTCACGCTTCCATTGCTCCATCAACTCCGACAGAGAGGACGCAGACAGTTCTCCGGTGATGGAAGACAGAAGACCCTCCTTGACAGCAACTTCCTCACTGTAGAGTCTTTCAAGAATATCAATCCAAGAGAGCTTTTCACAAATACTGAAGGAGGTTGCAGAAGATTCTACACAGGCTGTCACAGGAATATCTCCTTGGTTGTATAACCTCCAGGCACGTTTTCTGAGGCGCTTCATGGTGGCAACAACGGATAAAAATACTTCTACATTGCGCTGTATTTTCACGACCAGATTGTTGAAAGCATGTACTTCTTTGACAAGAAGCTGATCCACTACATCGGCGAGGTTATTCAAAACTAATGTTTTCTCAACAGAAGGAGCTAACAATGAGTCAAGCTGCTTTTTGATGTTGATCAATGTAGAGAAATACTGCAGACTCTCTCCTTGAACTGCATGCCATTTGTCAACGGCATTCGAGCATTCCAACAACACATCATCGATCTTACCAGTAAACGACATGATAGAATCGGAAATTCAGTGACGAGAATAGACGAAACCTTGTCACAAGAAAGAAAAAGTCCTGGAGCTGGGTGGGCCAAACAACTACCACAGTACCAGTACTTTCTTGTCATACAACTATTACGTTATTGATTATTGACATAATTAATTATTTATTGTTCTCTTTTTCAAAGCGCTTCGGTAAAAGTTCGGTTTCCAAGGAAATTTAAAAATGACGTCACCCACGCCAACAAAAATGTTGTGGTGACGAAAGCGAACCAGGGTGTTGTACGCCAATACCGTATACGCGTATTGTACTACCGTACTCCCTGTTCGAAACTCATCAAAAAATGATTTCCATTTTCATTTGAATCGACTTGTCAATCTACAATAAACTATTACACATGAATTGTTCAATTTTGACAAACTCAGCTCCAATGGCTCATGTCCGACAGTGATACGAGTAGGTGGTTTTTCAATGACAGCAGGCTCCTGTTCCAAGCAGGACAGCCTTGTGCGTCGACCGATTCGGACCGTCGGCAGTCGACTATTATAGTCCTTCGTCGATTCAACACGTGCAGAAACAATGACGAGCTATCAGCAGAAATTTGCTGCCATGCACCTTGGAGGTGCTTCAGGAGGTGTTAGTGATGTTCCAATGGACGAGCTGGAAGATGAGGAGTCATCCAGGAGGCTTGCTCCGAGGTCTGAGGTCGCTGGCGCTCATCACCCCTCCATAACAGCGGACTCTCATTTTGGAAACCTCTCCACTGCTGAAACGTTTCGAAACTACTACAAGAACGAAACGTCTTATGATGCTAAACTGCCCATAACAGGCTACAGGGACAACATCATATCCACAATTGAGTCTAATTCTGTTGTTGTTATCCAAGGATCTACGGGCAGTGGAAAGACAACCCAGGTACCTCAGTACCTACTGGACCGGTAAGTACATGTCAGGGGCGTCGGAAGGTATTCGACATTGGTGCGGTGGCATGAGTAGGGGGAGGGGTCCGGGGGTCGTCCCGTGGGAAACGATTAGAGAAATTGGGCCCAAATAGCCCATATTTCATTGCTTCAAAAGTCACAAGATGAAATTATTGGTGCGGCTTTGGCCGCACCTGCCGCACCGGTTCCGACACCCCTGCATGTTCCGGTACTAGTATCTTGGACGACACTAGCAACTACTACTAGTCTTCTGGATATATTAGGACATACCATGTTGGTCCTCTAGAGCTTTATTGTCCACACTCGTGGAGCACATGTTCAAGGTGTACCGGGCAAAGCCATCCTGTGCCCTGTATTGTGTACTGTAAGTTTACACAAATTTTCGGCCCATTCAAATTTCGGCCTCTCAGGGCTAAAACACATTTCGACCGCATTAAATTTTCGGCCTGTACTGCACTGCTACTGACGGTATCGATCACTGTCACACTGAAACTTGCAAAACAAAATTTCGGCAGCAACAAATTTTCGGCCAAATACGACCAGGCAGAAAATGGCCGAAAATAAATATGCGCCGAATATTTGTCGACTTACAGTATGTACCCGGGCCGGCGGGCATTGTTGGTACATACCATGTAACCAAGTGATCCCGTGTGAGGTCAAGAGGTGTGGGTCATGTATGAGCAGCTTATGTTGCCAACTCTGCTGTTAACGACGTGCACGGAGTACAGAAACTGTAGGCTGGTGCCATGTGTATTATGTATTGACAGCTTGATCACATTCTGATGGGCAGCGGCTGGTATCTCGTACATGTCCCACACCATTATACACATCTCTTAGGGATTTTCATGTACACGAATACGGCCAGCAAAGTGAGAGCCCATAAGAATAAGCTCATTGTCTTTAATAAGCTCACAATAAATAGGGGGTAAGCAGCAGGATTCGGCCCTGTGCAGATTTTTTCCTCAACCACCACACCACAACTGTGCTCTCCAGCCGACCTTGACAGGTTGCCACAGCACACCATCAGCAAGAGACACACCCGTTGTGTCTTTTAGAGCGCAGCTGTTGAATTTGGATGGTCTATGGTACTTGCTGTGTTGATTGGGGTACACCTGTGCCCATTGCTTGTCACATTGCAGAGCTCAGGAGAAGCAGGAGCACTGCAACATCATCGTCACTCAGCCGCGTCGTATCGCTGCCGTCAGCGTGGCGCGGCGTATCTGCTCCGAGCGCAACTGGACGCTCGGTGGCCTGGTGGGCTATCAGATTGCTATGAACCGCATGCTGTCGGAGGACACGCGCTTGACATTCTGCACGACCGGTGTCTTGCTGGAGAAGCTCATCCAAAACAAGAATATGACACAGTACACGCACGTCATTCTCGACGAGGTGAGTACAGGTCAGACCACGCTATAACGACCCCCCGCTATAACATAAACCTCACTATAACGTACAAATGTGAATGTCCCTGCCGAAACCGCATCACTTCTGTACAACATTTCCTCGCTATAACATAATCCGCTATAGCGTAATGTTCGCTATAACGCACTGTTTGCTGGGTCCCGGGCGCACGGAGACCTCAGCATAACGTAAAAACTCATATAAAAATGACTATGTACACGGCATGCCTTCTCACGACGAATTCGAGACTGAGCCGTTCACCTCGGAAGCAGGGAGTAGTAAAATACCGGTATTTTATTACTCCCATTACTTTTCTTGTCACATCACGACTCACATGTACAAGTACACGCACTACATGACTCTTGTCACCTCTTTGCTGACAAGCCTGTACACATGTACACATCTTTGCTAGTTCTCATCATACCTGTATGTAAAACAGTACAGTTGTAATCAGTAAGTGAAGAGCGTCATTTTGACACACATATTGCATATTGGTGTGCCCAACTCACTATAACATAAACCTCGCTATAACATAATTTCTCCCATCCCCCAGAGATTGCGTTATAGCGAGGTCTGACCTGTAGTCGGATGCAGTACATGTATAATAATCTTTCACCCCGTCCCCTCTCTCTCTCATTAGTGTTTGATCATCCTGCCTGTTTTTTGGCTCTTTGGCTCTAATTTCCCTGCTAGATGTATTATTTCACTTCCCCCTTTGTGAGTCAGTGGTTGGAGCATCGCTGGCCTCAAGCGAAGGTCCCTACTTTTAGTTCGAGTCCTGGTGGTGACAGTCAGTTTTTTGTTCAGACTTTTCCTGTTTGCATCTTTCCCTCAGGCCAATGGGTATTATAAAACTATTATTATTTTATGTTCAGTGTGTTTTGCTCTCAGCACTTTGGGCCAGCCATATGCTTACTAAATACTAATGTAACGATTTGCTTTACATGTGCTCAGGTCCACGAGCGAGATGATGAAATCGACATGGCTATGTTGGTGGTCCGCAAGATGTTGCGCTCGAATTCTCGGCACGTGAAGGTATGCGAGAGCAAGCACAAGTACTGCATAGCAGTGCTGTGCTGTGCAATTACAAGTGCAGTAATGTACATGTATGTGCGATGGAATTCTGTAGATGTGAGATTTTGCTTTCTGCTTGCTTATGATTGTATACTGGGTGTTTGGCGCCTACAGTATAAATAGCACTTTGTTGTTTTCTTCTGCTGCTTAGGTTATCCTCATGTCTGCCACTATTGCGTCTGAGGAATTCTCCGACTACTTTGGAATAGAGATCCAAGGCGTACTGCAGAATGCACCTGTGTTGACAGTGGAAGGGCGCATGTACCCTGTACAAGAGCACTACCTGGACGATTTCAAGTGGCTGGTCAAAGACGTGAGTTTCCTCATCACCCCCCCCCCCCCCTCCAGTTTTTACCTGCACATTTCCCTTGTCTGTGGTAACTCGATAGCTGTTCAAGATGTTGGATTGTAGTGGCTGGTATGTATGCATGCACGGGTGTTAAAAATCATGTTGGTTATGTCACACACAAGACACTATGGCATGTTTTATTAATTTTTTAAACCTTTTGAAAGCCATGGGCAAAACTTTGTACAAATCATCATGCAAAATCTCGTATGAAGACAGGATGTCACCAGTTTGTTTTTCTAACTTTCGTTAACCCTTTTTGTACTGATTTCCAGCACAGAATGAAGCAGAATTTGAATTTCCAGCACAATTTTCACCTTCAACAGGCTATAACTTTGGCCTCCTTCGCTCCATTTCCACAATTTTGGGCTCTTTGGAAAGCTCCTGGCGAGAGCAACGCCAGGATACCAGGCTATATCAACTAGCTGTCACAAATCAGGCGCAGGAACACATCAAACTCGTCTCCAAGCCCAATATGCGAGCAAATTTCCCCATCAACGCCATTCCACTCTCCTCTATCGCAGAACGCTCAAATCTTTTCGAGGCGATTCAAACTTCAGCCAACTACGTCATTATCATGTGCTGAGTTGGTCAAAGAGCACACGAAAAGGGATTTTCCCCTGAAATGGCGAAGAGATCGATAAAATTTTTGAATTTGCCGAGACAAGAATGCGGTGCGCGATATCTCTGGATTTGTACATCGTAGCTCTTCGGCGATTGTTGCATTGGAAAGCTTGGAGTTTCCGCTACCGAATAGACCCTTCGATTGTTGAATTCGGACAAGAAATGATGGAGTTACGAAGGTTTTACGGATCGATCATGAATTGATCATATGTGATCGATTCACGTACACACCGTACATAAAGGGTTAACATACATGCTGGCCAAAAAGAGGGTTGTTTGTCGATCACCATCGTTCAGTAGCAGTTTGGAAACAGACTTCCAGCCCATAACAATCCAGACAAGGCTTTGATACATGCACTGACCATATGTACTATATGCACAATGCATTGCGTCATGTCACATGCAATCGCGACATCAATGCATGCCTCAAATTCCCACTGCTTCACCATTGTCGCTCTTGTAGTCTTGACACCGCAGTTGGACAGCAACTTGTGGAAATTGGTTTGTAAGCTGATAATCCAGATAAATTGTTCTCTGTGTCCGCAGAGTGCAAGGGATGAGTGCCCGACTTCTGTAATGTAGGACTTTCTTACTCTCGGTCTCGACACGAACCTCTGTGTGTGAACATGTGTGTGTGGACATGTGTGTGTGTGTGTGTGTGTGTGTGTGTGCACGCGTGTGTATGTGCATGGTGTGTATGTGCATGGTGTGTGCATGTGGTCTGTGTGTGTCTGTTTGTGCGTGTCGGTGGGCACTTCACCTTGTTGTGTACATCCAGACATTCTTCTCCGACATAGAGGACAACGCGCCGGCCATTACAGATTATGCACAGCGCATGTGCATGGAGCTGATTCGGCTGTTTGACACGATGGAGGTTGACCAGGAAGTCCAGGGTTATGGTCGCGGGACAGTGCTAGTTTTCCTGCCCGGAATGGGAGAGATTCAGGATATGACCGGCTTCCTGGGCCCCATCACCGAGACGGAACGACTGCAGATTGTTCCCTTGCACTCCAAGGTGCACTTTGAGGACCAGCAGAGGGCTTTCCTGCCACCGGAAGAAGGTCGCAGGAAGGTGAGCGGTGGATGTGTGCTATCACTCTAAGAAGTGAATGTCACAGATCTATTCCTGCAGTTTCCACCGCCTTCATGAAGACAGATCCATGCACTGAGATTGCTGACGGCACTGGGCTGGCTGTTGCCTTCCTCTCCAGAATGGTGGTGCATTCAGACTGCAATAATAGCCAGCAGTAGCTGGTCATTGTCCATGGCCCACATGGCCAGTTATCCTTCAATACCTACTAGTACTTGATGAGTGAACATGTTTGATAGCATGAAATCACAACAGGCTTTTCTTTTGTTTTGTGTCATTTCTGCAGGTGATCCTCGCTACCAACATTGCTGAAAGCTCTATCACTGTCCCAGATGTTTGTTATGGTGAGGCAGCGCCTATTACAAGTACCTAGACTTGCTCTTGCTTCAAAGCTTGAGATATGTTGAAGTAAACAAGTTAGCTTGATTTGGCTATTTTCACAGCTTTCCGAAAACGTAGAACTCAATCGTGCCATGCCGCATCTCCAGTTTTGTTTCTCTTTTTTTGTTGCTTCTTTTCCATCTTGCCGTGGCACAGTTATCGATTTCTGTCTTGTCAAGCACCTAGTACTGGATGACACTACTAACTACTCTGCCTTGCGTACATGCTGGGCATCCCGTGCATCGCTACTCCAGCGACAGGGGCGTGCCGGTCGTGTACAGTCCGGCCACTGCTATCGACTCATTCCAAAGAAGTTCTTCCGCGAGTCGATCCCAGACTACTCCGTTCCTGAAATGCAGGTGAGTATCCCCCTCTACACACGCACGCACATACACACCTCACACCTTGTTTGACTCAACGCAGATCTTTGTTACATTTGGCTGTTTTGGAGGCACTGTATTTTCATCAGTTGTCCTCCGAGCAGTGTGTTCAGAAGAAATGTTTTGGCCCTCCACCCTGCACTCCAGTTGTTTGGCGCTAGTCCTTGTGAAAGTGTCAGGTGTATAATGTTACCCCTTGGTGATGTATTCCTGAACATTCATTATGTGTTAGTAATGTTTCATCTCCGTGCTGTTGTTTTTTGCCCCACTGGACAAAATTTCGTATCACACTTGTGGCGTGATTGGTGTTGCTAACCCTGAGTTCTTACCCCTATATAGTTCCTGTCTTTGACATTTTTTCCCCCTCTGTAGCAACCCATGATGAGAAGGGAACGAAAGCCTTCGGCTCAGAAGCTTCGTTACGTTCTATGTTCTGTTTATTTCATGTAATATTTACGTGGTAGGAGGGTAATACTGACTATGGTGAGAGTGGACACCGCGTGTACATAACGTTATTATATCATTGTGCTGACCTGCAGTGGTACTGAATCTGATGGTGGTGCTGTTGTTGTTCTGCATGGCGTGCTTTACTCTGCACAGCGTCAATCACTGGAACAAGTTGTTCTGCGTGTCAAGATGCTCGACATGGGTGATCCTCAAAGCCTGCTAGGTCAGGCGCTGTCACCTCCGAACCTTGACCGCGTTGCCAAAACAGTTCTCATCCTAAAGCAGGTTTGTCATTTCATAGTACTTTGATAGGGATTTTTGGTTTGTTTGGAGTGGTGTGATGATCAAGGACGACTGATGTGTGCGGCTGTATTGTGCTTGCATTGGCCTGGTAAGGTTCAGAGATAAATTCTGAACTATTTACCCCACTAATTTGAGTTTGGGAACGAAAACGTTTGGTTCAGAAAGTCTTCGATTTGTTCTTCTAACGTTAGACTAGTGTGGACAGCTTATAGAATATAGATGCATGACTATTGTACTATTCTAAGAATTTGAATAAGAATTTGACTCGCTGACTGTATAAGATCTGGTTACGTTGGTGGACAGTTAGTCATAACCCATAACATTTTGTCCTCCTTTTTTCACTAAGAATTTGAGTTCATGTATTTTTTCAACATCTTTTTTCTGCTGCTGCTGCTCCCCTGAACCTACATGTAAATATTGTCCTGCTTTTTTTCCTTCAGGTTGGTGCACTTTCTCTGCAGTCGACTGGTTCCGTCTATGATGGAGATTTGACATTTGCCGGCAAGATCATGGCTCAGCTGCCCGTTGATGTGCGTGTAGCCCGCATGCTGCTGCTTGGCCATGTGTTTGGCTACCTCAACGAGTGCTTGGTCATCGGTATGTTCTCTATCTCACCTTGCTTCCGCTTCAGTGTGATGTTTACCTAGCATGGATGCTGTGCTCAGTTACTTGTACTTCAAAGTAGTTTACACGTACCCACAGGCACCTGTGCTTACAACAGTGCACTGCCAACAGCCACTGTTATTCTAGCTCTTTCTTCACCAGGTGTCTTTAAGACCAAGCTAGCATTATACGGATCTCTTGCTAATGAATGCGTGTTGTGAATGCTTGGTTTGAATGTGTTCTGCAGGTGCCTCGCTATCACTGCGCAGTATATTTACACATGGCTACAAAGAAAAGAAGCTGCAAGCTTTTCGGTGAGCTCCAGCGCCTTTTACTTTACCTTTTGGGATCTTGTTTTTGTGTGTTTCTTAGCGGCGTGCAGTGGTATGTTTGCTTTCTATTTCATCTGGTTTATACAGTATGTGTGTTTGTACAAGGCAGGAATTTGTCTTCTGACATGGTCGTGTCTGGCTCTTGGGAGAAATCCCTGTGCTTTCGTTGAGTCTCTGTGCCTTCATGTTTTGCTCCTGTGTCGAATCAGAAACAAGTTGACGTGGGCCAATGGCTCACAGAGTGACTCCTTTGCCAGTCTGTACGCGTACATGGTACGTTATTATTATTACTATGTCGATCTTACTTCCGAAGACAGTGCTTGTATTTTACGTGAAGGCTGTTGCTCAATTGGGAAATGCTCGTGCTACTTTTGTTTGCATTCCCTCTGATGGAAGAGGTTCGGCTTTTCACATTGAATTCCTAATCGTGGGTTTTCGCTAACTTTACAGATGTGCGTAGTAGATACACCAGCAGCACTAGTGGTTCTGTTTTGGGGAGTTCCCTCTATCAAGTGACCTGACTGTTCTCGAATCTACTTCTCTGTGCTCCTCCTGTGACGCGATGTTGTTTTGGTACTTTGAGTGTTACTATTGTTGTCACCGGGGACTGTAAGGTTTGATTACCGTGTGTTCTGTTTTGTTGGGAGGTGAGTGCTCATGCTCAGTCACGTTGCCGTGCATTTGATTGTATCCTTGCATACTGAATAGGAGTGGAAACTGAAGAACGAGGAGAACAGATTCCGCAATGGACGAGCGGTAAGTTGTCTGTCTAGTGATTGTGTACAGTATCACTGTGTGTCTAATAGTGATTGTGTTGTGTGTCTAGTTGTGAGTGTGTTGTGTGTCTAGTTGTGAGTGTGCTGTGTGTCTAGTTGTGAGTGTGTTGTGTGTCTAATAGTGATTGTGTTGTGTGTCTAGTTGTGAGTGTGTTGTGTGTCTAGTTGTGAGTGTGTTGTGTGTCTAGTTGTGAGTGTGTTGTGTGTCTAGTTGTGAGTGTGTTGTGTGTCTAGTTGTGAGTGTGTTGTGTGTCTAGTTGTGAGTGTGTTGTGTGTCTAATAGTGATCGTGTTGTGTGTCTAGTTGTGAGTGTGTTGTGTGTCTAATAGTGAGTGTGTTGTGTGTCTAATAGTGATTGTGTTGTGTGTCTAGTTGTGAGTGTGTTGTGTGTCTAGTTGTGAGTGTGTTGTGTGTCTAGTTGTGAGTGTGTTGTGTGTCTAGTTGTGAGTGTGTTGTGTGTCTAGTTGTGAGTGTGTTGTGTGTCTAGTTGTGAGTGTGTTGTGTGTCTAGTTGTGAGTGTGTTGTGTGTCTAATAGTGATTGTGTTGTGTGTGTCTAGTTGTGAGTGTGTTGTGTGTCTAGTTGTGAGTGTGTTGTGTGTCTAGTTGTGAGTGTGTTGTGTGTCTAGTTGTGAGTGTGTTGTGTGTCTAGTTGTGAGTGTGTTGTGTGTCTAGTTGTGAGTGTGTTGTGTGTCTAGTTGTGAGTGTGTTGTGTGTCTAGTTGTGAGTGTGTTGTGTGTCTAGTTGTGAGTGTGTTGTGTGTCTAATTGTGAGTGTGTTGTGTGTCTAGTTGTGAGTGTGTTGTGTGTCTAATAGTGATTGTGTTGTGTGTCTAGTTGTGAGTGTGTTGTGTGTCTAGTTGTGAGTGTGTTGTGTGTCTAGTTGTGAGTGTGTTGTGTGTCTAGTTGTGAGTGTGTTGTGTGTCTAGTTGTGAGTGTGTTGTGTGTCTATTTGTGAGTGTGTTGTGTGTCTAGTTGTGAGTGTGTTGTGTGTCTAATAGTGATTGTGTTGTGTGTCTAGTTGTGAGTGTGTTGTGTGTCTAGTTGTGAGTGTGTTGTGTGTCTAGTTGTGAGTGTGTTGTGTGTCTAGTTGTGTGTGTGTTGTGTGTCTAGTTGTGAGTGTGTTGTGTGTCTAGTTGTGAGTGTGTTGTGTGTCTAGTTGTGAGTGTGTTGTGTGTCTAGTTGTGAGTGTGTTGTGTGTCTAGTTGTGAGTGTGTTGTGTGTCTAATAGTGATTGTGTTGTGTGTGTCTAGTTGTGAGTGTGTTGTGTGTCTAGTTGTGAGTGTGTTGTGTGTCTAGTTGTGAGTGTGTTGTGTGTCTAGTTGTGAGTGTGTTGTGTGTCTAGTTGTGAGTGTGTTGTGTGTCTAGTTGTGAGTGTGTTGTGTGTCTAGTTGTGAGTGTGTTGTGTGTCTAGTTGTGAGTGTGTTGTGTGTCTAGTTGTGAGTGTGTTGTGTGTCTAATTGTGAGTGTGTTGTGTGTCTAGTTGTGAGTGTGTTGTGTGTCTAATAGTGATTGTGTTGTGTGTCTAGTTGTGAGTGTGTTGTGTGTCTAGTTGTGAGTGTGTTGTGTGTCTAGTTGTGAGTGTGTTGTGTGTCTAGTTGTGAGTGTGTTGTGTGTCTAGTTGTGAGTGTGTTGTGTGTCTATTTGTGAGTGTGTTGTGTGTCTAGTTGTGAGTGTGTTGTGTGTCTAATAGTGATTGTGTTGTGTGTCTAGTTGTGAGTGTGTTGTGTGTCTAGTTGTGAGTGTGGTGTGTGTCTAGTTGTGAGTGTGTTGTGTGTCTAGTTGTGAGTGTGTTGTGTGTCTAATAGTGATTGTGTTGTGTGTCTAGTTGTGAGTGTGTTGTGTGTCTAATAGTGAGTGTGTTGTGTGTCTAGTTGTGAGTGTGTTGTGTGTCTAATAGTGATTGTGTTGTGTGTCTAGTTGTGAGTGTGTTGTGTGTCTAATAGTGAGTGTGTCGTGTGTCTAATAGTGATTGTGTTGTGTGTCTAGTTGTGAGTGTGTTGTGTGTCTAGTTGTGTGTGTGTTGTGTGTCTAGTTGTGAGTGTGTTGTGTGTCTAGTTGTGAGTGTGTTGTGTGTCTAGTTGTGAGTGTGTTGTGTGTCTAGTTGTGAGTGTGTTGTGTGTCTAGTTGTGAGTGTGTTGTGTGTCTAGTTGTGAGTGTGTTGTGTGTCTAGTTGTGAGTGTGTTGTGTGTCTAATAGTGATTGTGTTGTGTGTCTAGTTGTGAGTGTGTTGTGTGTCTAGTTGTGAGTGTGTTGTGTGTCTAGTTGTGAGTGTGTTGTGTGTCTAGTTGTGAGTGTGTTGTGTGTCTAGTTGTGAGTGTGTTGTGTGTCTAGTTGTGAGTGTGTTGTGTGTCTAGTTGTGAGTGTGTTGTGTGTCTAATAGTGATTGTGTTGTGTGTCTAGTTGTGAATGTGTTGTGTGTCTAATAGTGAGTGTGTTGTGTGTCTAATAGTGAGTGTGTTGTGTGTCTAGTTGTGAGTGTGTTGTGTGTCTAATAGTGATTGTGTTGTGTGTGTCTAGTTGTGAGTGTGTTGTGTGTCTAGTTGTGAGTGTGTTGTGTGTCTAGTTGTGAGTGTGTTGTGTGTCTAGTTGTGAGTGTGTTGTGTGTCTAGTTGTGAGTGTGTTGTGTGTCTAGTTGTGAGTGTGTTGTGTGTCTAGTTGTGAGTGTGTTGTGTGTCTAGTTGTGAGTGTGTTGTGTGTCTAGTTGTGAGTGTGTTGTGTGTCTAATAGTGAGTGTGTTGTGTGTCTAGTTGTGAGTGTGTTGTGTGTCTAGTTGTGAGTGTGTTGTGTGTCTAGTTGTGAGTGTGTTGTGTGTCTAGTTGTGAGTGTGTTGTGTGTCTAGTTGTGAGTGTGTTGTGTGTCTAGTTGTGAGTGTGTTGTGTGTCTAATTGTGAGTGTGTTCTGTGTCTAGTTGTGAGTGTGTTGTGTGTCTAATAGTGATTGTGTTGTGTGTCTAGTTGTGAGTGTGTTGTGTGTCTAGTTGTGAGTGTGTTGTGTGTCTAGTTGTGAGTGTGTTGTGTGTCTAATTGTGAGTGTGTTGTGTGTCTAGTTGTGAGTGTGTTGTGTGTCTAATAGTGATTGTGTTGTGTGTCTAGTTGTGAGTGTGTTGTGTGTCTAGTTGTGAGTGTGTTGTGTGTCTAGTTGTGAGTGTGTTGTGTGTCTAGTTGTGAGTGTGTTGTGTGTCTAGTTGTGAGTGTGTTGTGTGTCTATTTGTGAGTGTGTTGTGTGTCTAGTTGTGAGTGTGTTGTGTGTCTAATAGTGATTGTGTTGTGTGTCTAGTTGTGAGTGTGTTGTGTGTCTAGTTGTGAGTGTGTTGTGTGTCTAGTTGTGAGTGTGTTGTGTGTCTAGTTGTGAGTGTGTTGTGTGTCTAATAGTGATTGTGTTGTGTGTCTAGTTGTGAGTGTGTTGTGTGTCTAATAGTGAGTGTGTTGTGTGTCTAGTTGTGAGTGTGTTGTGTGTCTAATAGTGAGTGTGTTGTGTGTCTAGTTGTGAGTGTGTTGTGTGTCTAATAGTGATTGTGTTGTGTGTCTAGTTGTGAGTGTGTTGTGTGTCTAATAGTGAGTGTGTCGTGTGTCTAATAGTGATTGTGTTGTGTGTCTAGTTGTGAGTGTGTTGTGTGTCTAGTTGTGTGTGTGTTGTGTGTCTAGTTGTGAGTGTGTTGTGTGTCTAGTTGTGAGTGTGTTGTGTGTCTAGTTGTGAGTGTGTTGTGTGTCTAATAGTGATTGTGTTGTGTGTCTTGTTGTGAGTGTGTTGTGTGTCTAGTTGTGAGTGTGTTGTGTGTCTAGTTGTGAGTGTGTTGTGTGTCTAGTTGTGAGTGTGTTGTGTGTCTAGTTGTGAGTGTGTTGTGTGTCTAGTTGTGAGTGTGTTGTGTGTCTAGTTGTGAGTGTGTTGTGTGTCTAGTTGTGAGTGTGTTGTGTGTCTAATAGTGATTGTGTTGTGTGTCTAGTTGTGAGTGTGTTGTGTGTCTAATAGTGAGTGTGTTGTGTGTCTAATAGTGAGTGTGTTGTGTGTCTAGTTGTGAGTGTGTTGTGTGTCTAATAGTGATTGTGTTGTGTGTGTCTAGTTGTGAGTGTGTTGTGTGTCTAGTTGTGAGTGTGTTGTGTGTCTAGTTGTGAGTGTGTTGTGTGTCTAGTTGTGAGTGTGTTGTGTGTCTAGTTGTGAGTGTGTTGTGTGTCTAGTTGTGAGTGTGTTGTGTGTCTAGTTGTGAGTGTGTTGTGTGTCTAATAGTGATTGTGTCGTGTGTCTAGTTGTGAGTGTGTTGTGTGTCTAGTTGTGAGTGTGTTGTGTGTCTAGTTGTGAGTGTGTTGTGTGTCTAGTTGTGAGTGTGTTGTGTGTCTAGTTGTGAGTGTGTTGTGTGTCTAGTTGTGAGTGTGTTGTGTGTCTAATTGTGAGTGTGTTCTGTGTCTAGTTGTGAGTGTGTTGTGTGTCTAATAGTGATTGTGTTGTGTGTCTAGTTGTGAGTGTGTTGTGTGTCTAGTTGTGAGTGTGTTGTGTGTCTAGTTGTGAGTGTGTTGTGTGTCTAGTTGTGAGTGTGTTGTGTGTCTAGTTGTGAGTGTGTTGTGTGTCTATTTGTGAGTGTGTTGTGTGTCTAGTTGTGAGTGTGTTGTGTGTCTAATAGTGAGTGTGTTGTGTGTCTAGTTGTGAGTGTGTTGTGTGTCTAGTTGTGAGTGTGTTGTGTGTCTAGTTGTGAGTGTGTTGTGTGTCTAGTTGTGAGTGTGTTGTGTGTCTAATAGTGATTGTGTTGTGTGTCTAGTTGTGAGTGTGTTGTGTGTCTAATAGTGAGTGTGTTGTGTGTCTAGTTGTGAGTGTGTTGTGTGTCTAATAGTGATTGTGTTGTGTGTCTAGTTGTGAGTGTGTTGTGTGTCTAATAGTGATTGTGTTGTGTGTCTAGTTGTGAGTGTGTTGTGTGTCTAATAGTGAGTGTGTTGTGTGTCTAGTTGTGAGTGTGTTGTGTGTCTAATAGTGATTGTGTTGTGTGTCTAGTTGTGAGTGTGTTGTGTGTCTAATAGTGATTGTGTTGTGTGTCTAGTTGTGAGTGTGTTGTGTGTCTAATAGTGAGTGTGTCGTGTGTCTAATAGTGATTGTGTTGTGTGTCTAGTTGTGAGTGTGTTGTGTGTCTAGTTGTGAGTGTGTTGTGTGTCTAGTTGTGAGTGTGTTGTGTGTCTAGTTGTGAGTGTGTTGTGTGTCTAGTTGTGAGTGTGTTCTGTGTCTAGTTGTGAGTGTGTTGTGTGTCTAGTTGTGAGTGTGTTGTGTGTCTAGTTGTGAGTGTGTTGTGTGTCTAGTTGTGAGTGTGTTGTGTGTCTAGTTGTGAGTGTGTTGTGCGTCTAATAGTGATTGTGTTGTGTGTCTAGTTGTGAGTGTGTTGTGTGTCTAGTTGTGAGTGTGTTGTGTGTCTATTTGTGAGTGTGTTGTGTGTCTAGTTGTGAGTGTGTTGTGTGTCTAGTTGTGAGTGTGTTGTGTGTCTAGTTGTGAGTGTGTTGTGTGTCTAATAGTGATTGTGTTGTGTGTCTAGTTGTGAGTGTGTTGTGTGTCTAGTTGTGAGTGTGTTGTGTGTCTAGTTGTGAGTGTGTTGTGTGTCTAGTTGTGAGTGTGTTGTGTGTCTAGTTGTGAGTGTGTTGTGTGTCTAGTTGTGAGTGTGTTGTGTGTCTAGTTGTGAGTGTGTCGTGTGTCTAGTTGTGAGTGTGTTGTGTGTCTAGTAGTGAGTGTGTTGTGTGTCTAGTTGTGAGTGTGTCGTGTGTCTAGTTGTGAGTGTGTTGTGTGTCTAGTAGTGAGTGTGTTGTGTGTCTAGTAGTGATTGTGTACAGTGTGTTTGGTTGTGATTGTGTACAGTGTGTCTGGTAGTGATTGTGTACAATGTCGTGTACAGATGATGAAGGCTACAGTGTCTGCTCTAGGATTGTTGGACAGCCGGGTACCTGGCGCAACCATTCCAACCGGGTCGGAGCCGGGTACACATGTGTTCGACGCGCGCCTCTGCATGATCTGTCACACATACAAGCAAGAGTAGGGGGGGGGGGGGGGGGGTATATACTCTTGATACAAGCCATGTAGTCAGTCCTTTCAAAGTTCGAACGTGTAAAGTACCAACCAGGTCACAGGTGACCCGGTACTATATTTTCAACCGGGTCCAAGCGCCGCCCAACCGGGTCGATTACCCGGCTCACCCGGCTCTGGAGCAGACACTGGGCTATGCAACTAGCCTGCTCTGCACAAACTGCTGATTATCATCTTTGGAAAGAACTCGTTAGCTAGCAAACAATTCTACCCTAGTCTTGACTGTGCGGTGTAAGTCTGATACGACATACCCTTGGGGAAGCAGGACAAGCGTACTTAGTATACCCCTTGGGGAAGCAGGACAAGCGTACTTAGTATACCCCTTGGGGAAGCAGGACAAGCGTACTTAGTATACCCCTTTGGGAAGTTAGTACATTGTAAGTTATTACCCAGGGTGTTTCCTATCTGTCCATGTTGTTGATGTGCTTGGTATCCAGGGTGAACGGCAATGGGGAAACAGCTTCAGCGTGCACATTCAGCGCATGAAGGAAGTGAGTGACAGTAATAACAACAGTGACAGTATTGGCACATGCACGCACATATACAAGGCTGCAGGCCATCTGGTGCTGTCCTCCTGTCCACGAGTCCGGGTTTAATTAGCTTTTTGGCCCGTGTAACTTAGTATAAATACTGAGCTTGTATGTATGTACGATCCATAGAGGGTGGTGGCGTTCCTACGGATGCGGAAAGCTTGGCCTCCAGCCGAGTCTCATGCGAACTGTGAAATTTGGGTTTTTTTGTATGCTCTGTTTGAGTGAGTGGTATTCCTGTCGGGGTGCATCTCCTGTGTGCAGGTTGATCTCCTTGTTCGGGAACTCCGAAGCCGTATGGAGAAGTTCAACATCATTGCTGATCGATCGCTGGCTGAAAAGTGAGTTGGTAAAAGATGTCTTGTTTGGGCACGCTTGTGGGCTTAGATATGCTGAGTGTTCTTCTTGCTTGTGTTCGTCGTCACTGCCGCACGTGTATTAGAGTGATTCAGAATGTGCGCACCTTTGTTTATACAACTATACACTGCATTCCCTGTTTACATGCACTGCTGCAAGTAACACTGCAGCTCAATGCAATCTGACCAAGTCAATCAATGCCACGCCTGCTAATACCGGGATTGTAAACTGGTGCAGGGCACAGGCTTGACTTGCTAATACCGGGATTGTAAACTGATGCAGGGCGCAGACTTGACCTGCTAATACCGGGATTGTAAACTGGTGCAGGGCACAGGCTTGACCTGCTAATACCGGGATTGTAAACTGGTGCAGGGCTCAGACTTGACCTGCTAATACCGGGATTGTAAACTGGTGCAGGACGCAGGCTTGACCTGCTAATACCGGGATTGTAAACTGGTGCAGGGCTCAGACTTGACCTGCTAATACCGGGATTGTAAACTGGTGCAGGGCTCAGACTTAACCTGCTAATACCGGGATTGTAAACTGGTGCAGGGCGCAGGATTGACCTAATACCGGGATTGTAAACTGGTGCAGGACGCAGGCTTGACCTGCTAATACCGGGATTGTAAACTGGTGCAGGGCTCAGACTTGACCTGCTAATACCGGGATTGTAAACTGGTGCAGGGCGCATACTTGACCTGCTAATACCGGGGTTGTAAACTGGTGCAGGGCGCAGGCTTGACCTGCTAATACCGGGATTGTAAACTGGTGCAGGGCTCAGACTTGACCTGCTAGCACCGGGATTGTAAACTGGTGCAGGGCGCAGGCTTGACCTGCTAATACCGGGATTGTAAACTGGTACAGGGCTCAGACTTAAAACCTGCTAGCACCGGGATTGTAAACTGGTGCAGGGCTCAGACTTGACCTGCTAATACCGGGATTGTAAACTGGTACAGGACGCAGGCTTGACCTGCTAGTCCCGGGATTGTAAACTGGTGCCGGACGCAGGCTTGACCTGCTAATACCGGGATTATAAGCTGGTGCAGGGCTCAGACTTAACCTGCTAGCACCGGGATTGTAAACTGGTGCAGGGCTCACACTTGACCTGCTAGTACCGGGATTGTAAACTGGTGCAGGGCTCAGACTTAAAACCTGCTAGCACCGGGTTTGTAAACTGGTGCAGGGCTCAGACTTGACCTGCTAGTCCCGGGATTGTAAACTGGTGCAGGGCTCAGACTTAACCTGCTAGTGGATTGTAAACTGGGAGGATCCGAATGATCCAAACAATCGACCGAGATCCGGATCCAACCAATCGAACATGTGCTGAAGTTGTTTTTAAAATTGTATTTCCCATCATGCAGAGCCCGGCATGGCCTAACTCCCAATGACCAGTTTATGCTCAAGATCATCCTATCTGGCGCCTTCTATCCGTTCTACTTTGGCCTTCGTCGTGAGGAAGATGCCGCCGCTGTAAAGATGCTCTCCGGTCACGACCAGCTCTCTACTGTGCAGGTATTGCTGTAGTGCTGTAGTACTGTGTGTGTGTGTGTGTGTGTGTGTATGTGTGTGTGTGTGTGTGTGTGTGTGTGTGTGTGTGTGTGTGTGTGTGTGTGTGTGTGTGTGTGTGTGTGTGTGTGTGTGTGTGTGTGTGTGTGTGTGTTGGGGAGGGGGTACATGTGTGGGTGTGGGTGTGTTCGCAAATGTGGTGGTTGTATGCGTGCATGTATGTGTGGGTGTGTGTGGGGGGGGGGGGGGGGGGTGCATGTATGTGTGTGGGGGTGGTGTGTGTGTGTGTGATGCTGTAAACCTGTGTGTGCATGTGCGGGTATGGGTGTGTGTGGGTCCCTGGGGGGGGGGGGGGGGGGTGACACTATGTGATCACGGTCATGCCTATTGGTGGGGCCACTGGATAGTCGGAGTCCCCCTTCCGCGATTGTGCTGCAGAACTGTGCGCTTGGAAGTGTACCAGAACTATAGTCTATGGCGTCAAATCTGCACGTGTGTGTGTGTGTGCGTGTGTGTGTGTGTGCGCGTGCGTGCGTGCGTGATGCTTCCGTCTTTACATGTATGTGCAGATTATGGGTATGCCTCCAACAGCGTCAATGTACGAGAAGGAGATTACACAGCTGTTCAGGGAGTGTGGCAAGGTGGCCAAAATACACTTTGAGGCATCCACCAAGTAAGCAGTGTGAACACATGCATGGCTATTTGGCCACGTTGTGCTGCGTGATGGTGTTGCGGCGTTGGTGCCAGTGCTGGTGCTGGTGCTGGTGTTGGTGCTGGTGCTGGTGCAGCTGCTACTTGCTGCTGTATGCGTTGCCTTAGCCATGCTGTGTGTCTGCTTGCAAAGTTCCAGGCAACGGAGGTTAAGATGACGCAGCCTCTCTTCCTACTGTGGTGGTGGGCCCTGCTAGCCCTCCTAGGCCTCCACGGCCCATCCTACTACTGGAAAGATGTTTTTCGATTTCGATTTTGACAGCATGTTACAAGGTTACAACCATAACCCTTCTAAAGCTTCTGTGTATATACTGGAAAGATGTAGTGCAGATTGCTCCAAAGTAAAACCTTCCGAGTTGTGGTTGGAGTATCGATGATACAGCCATCTCTTATTATTGGACACGTTCTTTGAAGCAAAAGGTCTCAGAAATGTCCGCGCCAATAGCTGTGAAAGTCGTGAAGCGTTTTACAAACGAAATATCCGGCATCATTTTAGAATTGACGAAAAGTGCAGTCGATGATTGTTTCCTTTCGGCCAGTACGAGAAAGGACACTTCAGAATGTACGTGTACATTTGTGCTAGTTTGGTTGTGCAGAATCCCTCTTGTGGTGAAATGATGTGTGCTATGTTCTAGTCCATGGCTTGCATCCTGCTGTGCACTGTCTGAGCTGTGGTTAATGTCTGCCCACTGCGCTGCTGCTGCTGCTGCTGCTGCTGCTGCTGTTGTTGTTGTTGTTGTTGTTGTTGTTGTTGTTGTTGTTGTTGTTGTTGTTGTTGTTGTTGTTGTTGTTGTTGTTGTTGTTGTTGTTGTTGTTGTTGCGGTTGGTGTTCCTTAGGGCGTTTGTGGAGTTTGAACGGCCCAAGCGCCGAGTGCAGGGCACACAGCAGCAACAGCAGGAGGAGAATGGTGTGTTGCAAGCAGTGACCCTAGCTCTCAAGATGAGGTTAGTAGCTTAGTACCTGTGCTGGTACATGTAGCTGCTTGCTCTGCTCTGCCCATGCTATAGTACTGTACCTGTGCTGGTACATGTTGCTGCTTGCTTGCTCTGCTTTTCCCATGCTATAATACTGTACCTGTGCTGTACTGGGCTGTGCTACGCATGACTTCAATGTACCTGGCATCACTAATGTGGCGGCTAGGTATCATTGGAGAAGTACAGGCATTGTACCGGTACCTGGCACTGTAGTCTCCTTGTCTAGCCTTACCTATAATAAAAGTGTTCTTGAGTGTTTACTTAGATGTTAAATTGTTAATTCTTGTATGTTGCTTGCAGACACATTCGCTACCCCCTGTCCTTTGAATTGGATCCGAAGAAGGATGCAGCCTTTAGTGAGAAGGAGTCCAGAGCGAGATTCCAGATTTTCTATGGGTAGGTGCTGAGTGTGTGCTCTACAGGAATGTATGGCATTTGTGCACGTGCACACACACACACACACACACACACACGCACACACGAACACACGCACACACACGTGCACACCTGTTCTGTCCTGTAGAGCCAATGGGACACTAGCTGTATGGTCCCCGGATGGGTGTGCTCTAAGATATTTGCACATGTTGCAGCACCAGTCTGGGTTACTTGCCTATTCAGCAGCAGGCATGCCTATTCAGCAGCAGGCATGCCTATTCAGCAGCAGGCATGCCTATTCAGCAGCAGGCATGCCTATTCAGCAGCAGGCATGCCTATTCAGCAGCAGGCATGCCTATTCAGCAGCAGGCATGCCTATTCAGCAGCAGGCATGCCTATTCAGCAGCAGGCATGCCTATTCAGCAGCAGGCATGCCTATTCAGCAGCAGGCATGCCTATTCAGCAGCAGGCATGCCTATTCAGCAGCAGGCATGCCAGGATATGTAGTAGGTGATCACTGTTCTTCTAACGTCTATTTAATTTCTCGTTGGTGGTGGTGGTGTTGTTGGTGGTGGTGTTGGTGGTGTTGTTGTTGGTGGTGGTGGTGGTGGTGGTGGTGGTGGTGGTGTGTGTGTGTGTGTGTGTTTGTGTGCACGCGCGTGTGCATGTCTGTTTGTATGCAGCCAAGCGCCAGTGGAACAGCAACAGCATCGCACTCTTCCACAGGTTAGCCTAGCTTGTTCTGTCTGGTAGCACATGTACTTTGTATGTTAGCAGTTCAGTAGCAGTTCCTTGGTTGGCATGAACCTACACATGTACATTGTATGTTAGTTTCAGTAGCAGTTTACGTCTCTACGTCATGAAGTGAGAAACTTCGCACGAACCTTCGCAACTTTGGACGCGAAACTTGCAATGAACGTTCGTGAGAAGTGCGGTACGTTTCGTGGGCTTGAAAATGGTCAACGGGTTCACCATGTGCATGTGATCGGCGTGCGAACTGCGAAAATGCGCAGAACACAAACTTTGTTCGAAAATTCACACAAACGTTCGCAAGGCGAAAATTCGTGCGCATTTTCCTTTTGTAGAACCTCTCTAATATCAAGCATAGCTTCATCTTCGACGGAGGAGGTCATCGCAACAAAAGCACCGAATCAGTCAAGTGTCTGTTAATCAGGCAGGATAAACTCCCTAGTATAAGAGCAACGTATTTCATGAATTCTTACTGCCGGGGTCGGTACTTTTAAACTCAAACATGATATTCGTGGTATGATTGTTCTTGGTCTTTCTCAAGTAGTTATCTCAGCTGTGTGTGTGTGTTTTGTCATGTGTATGATGTTCTTGCAGCATGATCTATCTAAGCTGCATCAGATGGAAGTACTCATCACGGAGGTCAGTAGTGCACCGACAAGGCCTGCTTACCTGAAGCCTGTGACTTTGTCGCGCCTTAACGGCGAGTTTGTCAACACCTTTCTATGTTCCGACCAGGCAGACACAGTGGGTTGGTCAAAGACCATGATTGAGATACGTGGGGTACCTGGTTCAAGTCCTGCCTGGGAGCGGTTTTTCAAGCTGTGCTGCTACCCACAGTCAACTGGGAACTTGTGGCCAGGCACAAGGGGTACATGGATGCAGCTAATGGGGTTTCTCGGCACTTGTGCCAGTGGTTGTGAGACTTATCCACTCACCCCCACCGTTAGGTGCTGCATCTGCCGCTAGGGTTTACCGGGTGTTAGCAGCCGTCGTGAGTTCCCTTCGGGAGCGGACACGATAATTTACTTTACTTTACTTTTCTATGTTCCTATTGGCGCCGCGGTTACACAGTGGGCTGGGCCATGGGGCCCCTTTACCCATGCCAAGACCAGTGGGCTGGGCCATGGGGCCCCTTTACCCATGTCAAGACGGGTGGGCGGGCCATGGACCCCTTCACTCATGCCAATGCCAAGCACTCATGTCTGTACAAAGAGTTTCAATTCTGTAGAGCTGGTCATCTCGGATATGATTGCACACGCCATGATCAGTATCCTGTAGGCTGTGTCCTTGTTTACACTTTCCACGTCCAGGCACATACACTGTACACGGTACCAAGTGGAATTAAATTCCGTACGATCGAAAGCCATGTTTGCTTAGTGACTAAGTGTACCACACACGTTGTCGTCATGTATGAGATGTCACGCTGTACAGTGTGAGTGGACTGGGTGCATTCCAATGTCACCACGTGTGTGTGTGTGTGTGTGTGTGTGTGTGTGTGTGTGTGTGTGTGTGTGTGTGTGTGTGTGTGTGTGTGTGTGTGTGTGTGTGTGTGTGTGTGTGTGTGTGTGTGTGTGTGTGTGTGTGTGTGTGTGTGTGTGTGTGTGTGTGTGTGTGTGTGTGTGTGTGTGTGTGTGTGTGTGTGTGTGTGTGTGTGTGTGTGTGTGTGTGTGTGTGTGTGTGTGTGTGTGTGTGTGTGTGTGTGTGTGTGTGTGTGTGTGTGTGTGTGTGTGTGTGTGTGTGTGTGTGTGTGTGTGTGTGTGTGTGTGTGTGTGTGTGTGTGTGTGTGTGTGTGTGTGTGTGTGTGTGTGTGTGTGTGTGAGTGTGCATGTGTGCATGTGTGCGGGTGCGCGCGTGTGTGCGGTGTGGGTGTGAGGGGGGAGGCAATGTAACCATACACATGACTCACTACAGTGTACATCGCATGCTGCCATCAGCTAGTACATGTATATGCAATCCTGGTTGTTGTGCTCTGTTCTTGTGTAATTTATATTTGCAGATCGTTACGGTCAGCGAATTCTGGGTGCAAATGACAGAGAGCTCAGGTGAACTGTCCGAGATCAGCGAGTGGATTTATCGTCGGCGAAACAGCTTCAAGGTGTGTGTGTGTGCGTGTGCGCGCGTGTGTGTGTGTGCATGAGAGAGAGAGAGAGGGGGTTGTGGGAGAGAGCATGTACATGCGTGCATTTGTAGTCATCTCCATTTAATTCATGGCCGTATCGCTTTCGTTGTAACATTTACTGCTGTTTCTCAGCCAGGGAGCCAGACCTACAATGAAAGGGTTGCAATGCAATCATAGCTGTGTTCGGTCACTTTGTCTGATGATTGACCAGTGTGTAGAACTCATCAACATGTACTTCCTCTGCTTTGCTGTTCGGTGCCCTTGGTCATTGCACAGTCTTCAAGGAGCCTGGTGGCTTTCTTTATTCTGTGTTTTTTTTATTACCACTTTATATTGTGAGTGCGGTGGTGTGTTGCT